AGCACAGATGTGGCGCAGCGTGGTCATGAGAGTCGGACATATTTTACCAGCATTTTCATGTCCTAAATTTATGATCATGTGTATTTTATTCAGATCATGTACGCATGTTATGTATTCGTATTTCGGATGCTTCCGCCAGCGAGTTTTCTAGACAGTGCGAGACAGTACAGACTATGCATGTATAATTCCATAATCCGCGAGCGGACAGTCTGGTTGCATGTTTTTATTATGTCTGTGGGCAAGCCCAAGTTTCAGTTTAAGTTTGTATCTGTGACATCCCGCAATAAGTCTGTATTTTCGAAAACCCAGCTCGCACGACCTTTCGAAAATAAAAACGAAAATTTTACTCTGATTTTTCAAAGCTAGTAGTAAGGCGGGGTGTGACAGTCTTCACTTCAGATTTCTCTCTCCTTTGTGACAAAGGATTTACTGACTCGCGCTTGTATCAGGACTTTTCTTCACCTTGGGGACCTACTGCTGAGTGGTCAGAGGCCATGACTGCTTCAGCTCGACTAGTAGGACACCGCTTTCTGATGGAGTCCCCTATGGCTTTAGTGTGGTATTTCGTGGAGCGAGTCACAGATTGCTACGACATCCCTGTTATCCGGCTCATTCCTCCTCACCTGCCCACTTGTTTGTTCTGAACTTCTTCTATACCAGCTGAGGAGCACTCGGACATCACCGGGGATGGGTACGTAGCTGACCGTACCGTAGGTGACTACCAGCCCTTCATCCGAGAGCAGCTGCTGCCCTTCCCTGGCGCTCCTATCGCTCCACCGCCAAGCCAGGTAGGTTATCTTACTTCTTTCTTGCTTTATCTGTTCCATCCTTTCTGACAGGGTTCTCACTCATTTCCTTGTGTAAATCAGCCCTTCTCTAACAAGAGGAGGCGCTTTGAGGCTTCCAGTTCTAGAGTTCGACCTACCGCGGAGTAGGCAGTACCAGGTGCTGAGGAGGGCGACGATGATCAGCCGACACAGTTCGCCCCTCCTCCTGTCCAGCAGACATGGGTTGTAGGTGATCCTCAGTGGGCATTGCTTCCCACCCAGCTCTGGAGAGCAGATGGTACAGCTTACTACCACCCGATAGAGGTAGATGCTAGTCTCCCGGTTGCCTTTGCTCCTGCCGAGACGACTCATGTAAGTAGCTTTATCTGTTGATTTCTTTATTGCTTGTCATTTGTATTTTCTGATTTCTTTTGACCTGCAGGTCACGAGAGCACATATGGAGCATGCCATGCGCCTGGTGCATGCTATGTAGGGGTTAGCTGTGGAGAGCAATGCCCACATGCATGTAAGATGCTTTTTCTCTTATTGTATGTATTTTGTCTTTTATGATGAATGATAATGTATTGATATGTTATTTATGTATGCGTGAGATGCAGATGAGCTATATGGAGGCCAGGCTTGTAACACCCCACTTTGATTTTTAAAGAAATTCCGGACTTTCTAAAAATCAGAACCCAATTTTTCAAAATTCATTTTCGAAATCAGGGGCATTAACCAACACAATTTAACTAGTCCAAGTCTTATCTGGACTTACGGGGATTCATAAACCCGATTTTTCATAAGGTTTTCATTAACCTGATTCACACCTCAACACAAAGATCAATATGAACAATGGAACTTGTCAAATCAATCACCATACTTATCCAAGGTTCAAAAGTGATTACCAAATTATTCCCAACATCAAACGTTGTTCGAAAACAGTTTCACATGTTCAAACATGATTAGGGTTCATAAAGACCACATTATTAAAACGGAAGCAAACAAAACACATAATAGACCACCACTCGCCCATCATCCTGTCATCCACTGCTTAACCTGCATCCGTGAAGAGCAGGTGGGAATGAGCACAAATGATAAAATAGTGCTCACTACTATGCACATAATGACAATGTAAAGATGGTATGGTCGCAGCATGAATATAAATCAATCATCATCATGTCTCATCTCCTAATAACAACAATAACTCACTCATGTGCACATCTATCATTAGCCGCGGAAAGGGGATGCATAAACCCTAACGACGGGAGTGCGTGCCACTGTAACGGACACGACCTTTCATTAGGTCTTAAGGAGACTTGCCTCGCAAGGGCAACCGTACCGTAACTCGACGGGGACGATCGTACCGACGGCCGTAACAGCTCACATCAGTAGGCCACATGGTTCACATTCATACATTGGTCATACCAACTAAACATTAAACAACATGTATGGCATAGACAATTTTAGATTAGAACCCACCTGGTGTAGCAAGGTGAAATAGCACAATTGAGGGTAGGCAGCGAGCACGGCTCGTCAAAACACCTACAACAATTATTACACTAAGATCAACACTTTTTACCTTAGAGGAACATACACAATCATACTTGGTCGAACTCGAGTCGACCAAGTCGTTCGTGAAGTTCTGTGGACTTTGGAACACTTGGATCTAACACTTAGACTTGACCAAA